TAATGATTAAAGTTATTGAGATAATTAATTGATAAGATATATATTAGCGTAGAGTTTACTAGATTAGGATGTATATAACAGGGCCTATTTGAAAAGGCATTTGAAAATCTTAATTTAATAATAACTAGAAAGGTTTCTCGCGCGTTGCGCGAGTCGAAAAGTGTCAGTTTCGTTTGTATGTCCATCTGTTTCATATATTGCTATTATCCGATGTACATTGCCTGACAGTAAAGTACATTGCTATTCTGTGTAATTTGCCATGAATCGGATAAAACAAACTTGGCGGTAGTGCCTACCAAAAGAACATCAATAGTTCAATACAACCATCAACTTTCTTAGCATACTATAAAGCCTAAAATAAGAAATGCAATGGTAAATCATGATAGTAAAACAAATTACACTGTTATATTTAGTTTTAAAAGAAAGTACAATGCAATGTACAATAAATGCATAAAGAACATCTTGATTAAATATTTACTTTGATCATTATAAAGCCGATGGATCTTGTTCTAAATTATTTTCCAGTTTTTTAAAGTACAATTAAATAACAAAAGCAAGGAAGAAACGTTATCCAAACAACAGATCAAAAGCATGTGCAACATAAATAAATAACATAAGCAACCAACCTAATAAACAACGTACGACAATGAAATGAGAATGTGTTATTCGGCAAAGCATTTTCCCTCTGTTTTAGCTTCTAGTCAGTTCACCAAAATAATTTCTACTTCCTCTAGAAAACATCACAATTTAATATCTTTATCGGTTCATAAATATATGTAATTATTAGTGGGGTTGTCCAGTATCATACACATTAAAACTTTAACCAATTCCAAGTATAAACTATAAAGATCCAAATTATAATTACCTTCCGGCCTTGGTTGATTGTACATATTTTTCTGCTTTCCAAACAGCATCACATCCTCTGGCAGCAACAGTTTTGGCACAAAGTTCCTTCAAAATCACATATCACAAGAACGATAAAAGAAGGGCAAAATGATCATTTTTACAAATTTAAGACAACATTACAACCTATTATGTTGTTTCCTATTATATGTAACAAATGTGGCCTAAAATTGAAAGAAAATCTATGTTGTTTTCTATACACAACACCCATGCTCACACCTAATCATTAGAATAAGTGGCTTCCAGAACTTTTGATGTCTACATAACATCAACAATTAGCTGAGTATTGTCGGTCAAAATCGAAAAGTGCAATGGAAAATATTATCATTTTCTATTCCTATGCAAAGTTGTAGAAAAATTCAAAAGAACAGTGTATGAATCAATGTATATATACCAGAATACTCACCTTCTTGAAGCTTGCTACCTAAAAAAAATGCCCCCAGACAGTAGAGATATATTAGTAACAAAATAATGGTATTTCCATTTACACAAATAGGTGGACTGCATAATCAATTTTTGTTTACGTAGGTGCAGTGGAGTGATTACAAAATACTCATGTTTCTAAAATAGTTATGAAATAGTCGTTTGTATAAAATATTCCTATTTCTAAATAATGATAAAAACATATTAAATATCAAGTATGAATGTGAAGAGAACATATTCACAACCTCTTTCATTGCAAGCCAGTAACCAACCATGTCAAGTTGATCAGATGGTCCAACAATCTTTACCAATTTTGCACCCATTTGTTTCTTTTTCAAGAAACAGAAGAGCATCCATGTTGGCAGTAGATTAATGATTGCAAAAATAAATATTCTTATCTGTAAACAGAAAACAAAATAAATAAATAAATAAATAAAAATAAAATAAAATAAAATAAACTCTTATGTGGTCAATTGAAGATGTTCACATACCCTATCCATAAATTATCAAATAAAAGTAACAATTCAAATAATGAAGATACAAAAATTGAAAACCAATTGGTAATTTTAACGAAAAATATTACCAGCCAACAATGAATGAGTGACCAGATAAACAGTCAACAAACCATGAAGAAAACTAAATAAAATAAAAATTAAAAAAAGGAAAATCACTACAATCATGAAACAACAAAACCGGGTATTGTTAGTTTCAAACTTGTAAAAATGAAATTGAAACCTCTATGACTGAGATGGGTTCTTTGCTTCAATAAGAGCAATCTCCGTAAATTGGTACTATACAATTCCAAAATCACAAAAAAGGAAAGAAATTAGGGCTCATATAATGAAACACAAAAAATTAAACATCCTACCATCTTCGTCACGTATGCCTGTCGGCCTCAGCACCTCCGTTGCAGTGGAACAAATGCAAACATCACTGTCTTTCCTTGTGGATTGTCAATCTGCAAATCATCAAATAAAAAAAAAACATAAAACAGGAAGTCAGATTTAACAATGAAAATTTAACAATCATCACAAACTTTAGCAATATAATTTTTGTGCATTCATCACAATATAGCTTAAAGCTGAAAGGTCTCTGGTGGCTTATTATTCTATTGCATTTCGAGGGTATTTTAGACATTTCACCAACAATCAACAAATCTTGGTGCATTCTTCTTGCATCAGGCCAAAGTTCCTCTAAAAAACAGGTGCTGAAAAACCAATAAAGCTTGTGATTCCTCGATAAAGTCCTGACAAACCTGAAAAAAAGATTTAAATTAGTTATAATGTAATTTCTTCAATAAGAACAGAGCATCAAAGCTGGCATCACCTCTCATATATAATTCTGCCATTTCAGGGACCATAGGTCGGACTTTCTTGAGCAGCACCATATCTACAGCTTTAGTTAGTATTAATCTAAGTTAGTTGTGTATATGATGTTGTATATGTACACTAAAAAATTGAATATTAAAACAATGTACCCTTAAAAAGTAGTCATGAATATTAAACAAATTTTGGGGTCCAGGCCCTAGTTCAAAAATAACTAAGCCTTTTCTAAATTACCTGACTTTTTGATTCTTAGCTCATACTCCACAAAAGGCCATGGTCTTTTCACTTCTGTTATAAACACATTTTAATCATTTTCAAAATTTACAAATAATCAATGAGTAAATTAAACTTTTAAATTCTAATTTTCGACATTTATAGTTTACTTTACCAGCATTAGAAGAAATGATTCTTGAAAACATATAAGAAGGTAGTCCACATTTACACATTGTAAGATGATGTATTGAAATTCCCATTATTTACATATGATCTTTTTGCAACCCCGGTTGATATTTTCTCTCCGTGATGTAGAAAAGCAGATCGAATTAGCCCAAAAGATTTAACAAAAGATCTCCTCATCTTCATTCCAGTACTTTGATGTTGATTTAAAAAGCTGTAAACTTCAGGGGTGGGTCTCAAGAATCCTGAACAACATCTGGTTCTCAGAACAATTGGTAACAAAAGTACAAAGATAATTAGGAATAAGGAATATATTCGATGACAAAACATTTGATATGTAACTACTAACTTGTTGACTTAAATTGAAAGCTTTTCATGTATTAAATAAGCGAAAAATTGTACAGTTCAAATTCGAATTTTCCATATTTCATATGCTTGAACTAAGGAATTTCAGTTTAGGGTATGATAATGATTTTCTGAGATTTAATTTGACTCATTTTATGAACCTTCCATCTTAATCCAACTCTAATACCTTAACCTTAGTCCATCACCCTTAGAAGAACATCAATTTGAAACAATAATCAAGTAAGAAAACCATTGCAATCACATAAATCACTGTACACTGCGTGACGAATGAACCAATCACCTTGACAGACGTCTCAGTTCTCATAATCCTCTTCCAACAAATGTTTCCTTTTCCATCGTCTCTTATGTGTTTCCTGTCTTTAGGCCGAAAATCAACGAAATCAGAAAACGAAAAAGAGGATACTGCAATCATAAACCGTAAATCAACATGTGAACATTTTCAGAATTAATATGTGAAAAAATAGATAGATGAACTAAAAGATCAAATGGATTTTCACTAATTTGTTTACCCATCATCTTCGCCGCCACCCAGTACCACCCCTAACCGTCGATATCAACCACATGTTACCACCTCCATAAATCTTCAACATTCACCCCTGTTCACGCACACAAAGACCAAGAAACCCCACCACCATAGCCAATACCCTCAAAGCAGAAGAAAACATTACCTTCAACTCGTTCTAAATCAGCGACAAAGAAGGAACATTTGCAAAGAAAATCAGAAAAGAAGAGATTAAATTGAAGAACGGTAATCTTCATTGATGGTCAATTTCAACTTTCAATGAATCATCTACTCATTACCTGGAAAAGAAACGATCCATCCATTATTATTGTACCAGAAGGTGTTGTCATGCTAATCAAATGGATTTGAAGCATCATAAGGAGAAATTGATTTATGGAAATCGACGTTTTGTTCCATGGTAGTGGGTTGAGGCGGATGAAAATGGAGAATAAGAACCGAACATGGGGAGATTAACAACGGAAAACCAGGGGGAGATGATGAAGAAAGAGACGTCTATGATTTGGAGAAAAGGAAGATGATAGAAGGATCGGGAAGTAATACCCTAACCACAGTGGTCACCTGAGGAACAGTACCCTGGTCAGGTACTGTCCAGGGGGAAAACGATAATATATATATATTAATAATAATATAAAAGAAGTGACACACAAAGCAATATAGAGGGACCGGAAATGTAATTCAAGGGACGAAACATGGACAAAAGAGGCGACGTTTACTGTTTTTTTTCTTCACAACTTTAATATATATATAATTAAATTAGGCATAAGAAAAATCAGCTCTTCCTTGTAAACCATTGGCGAGTTTACACTTTTCAGTGGATTCGCTATGAAACAAAATACGGAATAATGCGATTGGGTCCACGTAGGCCCCTGATTAACAACCATTAACCTCCGAAACCTTAACAGGTGTCCGCCGGAATCTATGTTTCCACCGTCCCAGCAAGTAGCAACCCGGTCAATGGTCATCATCAATATACATCCCATCTGGACATAAAAAATCGACCACTGATTCTGACCTTTTAATTAAAAAAGGTTTCCACAACAGAATCAATTAATCAAACAAACAAAAGTAGAACTCACAATCAAGCCATCAGTAATTTGAAGTCGATGCCGAATACAATGGGCTAACCCCACCAACTCCACCAATCACCATCGTAGATTTTCCCAACCTCTCCCTATAAACATTTTGCAAATCGGGTTCTTCGCTTCTTGTAATACAGCCATGACTGACAAGAGAAAACATCCGGAGGTGGGCACAAGTCCGACGACGCCTTTGGAGTTCAAAGTTCTGTCATCTACAGGCATAATAAAGTGTGATATGGGTCAGGGTCGGATCGGACTTGGTATACTTGCCGCCCTTGAAAATATTCCGGCCAAGAAGTCCAATTTCAGATGCCGGAACCCAATGGGAAATGAAGCGGGTAGTTTGGAAGAAGAGAATACAATAGTTACTCATCATAAACCAGACAAATCGTATACAAAAGCTCACATTGAAATCAGAGAACAACCCTCCATTTTTGACATATCACCTGCAAGGTTTGGTGACGATGGTATGAAGATGCGTACGCCTTCTGAATTTCTGAGTTCATGTCATCTATGCAACAAAAGACTCAACGACAGAGACATATACATGTACAGGTAAAACCAAATCCTCTGGTTTTGTTTTCCACAGTTCCCAATAATTCAAATAGCATCATGATGATGATGATGATATTGATGGTTTCTGAAACAGGGGAGAGAAAGCTTTTTGTAGCCCAGAATGTAGGAGCAGACAGATAGGGATGGATGAAAGACGAGAGAAACACTGTAGCTCACATGCATCTTCGACTCCTTCAAATGCCACAAGCCCTCCTCACGTGTTGTTTTCTACCGGAATTTTTGCAATTTAGTCAACATACGAATCATATTTTCCAAATATATGTAAAAATTTGGAACATCACCATGTTGAAGATTTCTGAAAACTAAATCTAATTCCATTGTTTAGATAAGAAAACCCACAAAACTAATGTTACATGTATCCATCCATATACATCCTCAAAAGGTTATACAACAAATGCAAAAACAAGAATCCCAATCATTAATCTAATAAAATCTCTTAAACCATTGAAAACAAAAAACAGAGCATCGTCCTATCTGATCTTTGTGTTATTACTGGTAATACATAGGGGCCTGTGTAGCACCAATTCCTGGGTAACCACCATCATACACTGCACCATTGCTAGCACCACCACCCATCTGCATCAGACCCGCCATTTTACCAAGAGCCAATTGTCTTTCATATGCTGTAACGTCCATCATATTTCCGGCCACCATTGGTGGTGGCAGAGGGGTGGAGCTGCTTCCTGGTGGCGTGGGTTTGCTACCCCATGAACACTGTGTCTCACAGAAAGATAGAAATCAGATCTCATATAAATTTCCATCGAGATGTTTCTTTCCATGAACACAAGTCGAACAGGGGGTATTATGGTAATTTCAGAAAAACAAATATATATATATATATATATACCTTAAGTGGCTTGCCATAGAGATATCGGGCATTTCCTAATTGAATAGCACGAGCTGCTTCAGCGTGTGAAGTGTATCTTATGAAACCAAAACCTTTGTCTCGTTGAATTCTGACATCTTCAATAACACCAGCACCAAGAGCGTGGAAATGACAATGGAGATCACCTGACGTAACCTAAAGTAAAAGAAAAAGAGTACATTACATTTTTGATCCCCAATTATAGCTGATTTTTGCAATTTCGGTCCCAAAAAGATTTCTCCTTGCAATTTTAGTCCTCGTTATTTTGATTCATGCATTCATTTCCATCTAAATTGAAATGAAAAAGAATTGCCAACCTCTGGAGCCAGATTGCCAACATAGACAGTTGTATACTGAGGATTATTTTCTGGAGCATCTTCATTAGTCTTTTCTTGACCATCATCTGCACATTAAATAAAATGTTAGAATGGATAATCATATAACAATATGATAAATTGATAACATAACATCCATATTTTGGCTTATAAAAATCATGAAATATTGTGTATGAATTTTCACCTGATGTTCCATTTGTCAACTCAACAACACTTTTGGTATCTGACCTCGGTTTGTCATCCGATCCACCACCTTTTGCTGCCCAGTTGCATCGAATTTGCCTACTTCCAAGCCACTTTCCTACAAAAAACATTAAATGTTACAAAATAGTTATATTTTTAATAAAACAGGTTTATATGAATGAAGTAAGCCAACAGTACACTTTTAAAATCCTCACCATTCAAATCATTGATTGCAGTCTGGGCATCCTGTCAAAGACAAATGAGAAGAAAGGGTAGTTAGCACGTTTAAGGTGACACAAGGGTGAGGGGTAATATAGTAATTTTACTTACCTGTTGGTTACGAAATGAAACAAATCCAAATCCCCTTGATCGCCCAGTTTTCTGATCCCACATAACCCTTGCATCACTTACCAACATAAAAAGAGAAAATAAAAAATATTGTTTATCACGTTTTGATTTCAGTTTAATAAAAAAGAAACTTTGGCTTACGAGCATGTCGTGTACACAGAGAAGCAAGAAAACAATGTGGCATCAGTAACTTCAGGGCTAAGGTCACCAACAAATATGTTAAAGTGGCCTGAAAAACCAACACAAAAATGAAATATCTCATGATGAACCAAATTAATTTGCAGATTAACATTATGTTAATTGTTAACAACAAACCTGATGTATCTTCTCTCTGGCTACTTGCGTATGCCCAATTAACTTTAATAGGCTGCCCAAACCTGCAAACATATGTTATCATAATCAATTCATAATGATTGATAAGTCAAGAAGAGATTTGTTGATGTTTCTACTTACAGATGCCTTCCATTAAGTGTCACAATAGCAAGAGCAGCAAAACGCCGATCAAAGTAATCAACGAACCCATATGATGACTGAAATCCAAGTAAATGAGTTTTATAAACGATTAAACAATTGGAAAATTGATGAATCGATCATACATTCTCTTTTCTAATGAGCTTGCATCCTTCAAGAGCACCAGTGCTTGAAAAAATTTCTTGAAGTAGGGGTTCTGTGACCTGTGGGTGGATGTTCCCCACATACCTATATCGAATCAGATAATTATAAATGTCAAAATTAAATTGGAATGATCATTGACAGAAGATAAGAATTGAAAAGGGGAAAAATGAAAGATGCTCACACACTGCGACATGTAGCTGAATCAAAACCAGGAGGTAAATTTCCACTCAAGATAGGCTCTATCTGCAGATACCATAAATTATTTGTTGATTGATAGTGATTGGTGAACCAATTATATCTGATGTTTAATACAAGTAAATTATGTTTTTAACTTTTTGTGTTTTTGTAATAAAGTGCATAGTCTTTTTTTTAATAAACAAGTCGATTCAATTCACAAGAACTTCAAATGAAACTGTACTGATTCGGGTTCAAACAGCTAGCTAGCATACTAAATGTATCAAATTATGATATTTTCACAGCTGGTGATGCAAGTTTCGCAAAAGGGCAAATAGCAGGAATAAAGTTTTTTTTATGTTCATGTGACTGGACCTTTTTCACCGGAACAAGAATCCGACCGATGTCTGTAGATTCGACACCCAGAAGGAAAGGCAACACCTTTTGAGACGTAAACTGAAATTAGAAGACAAGAAAACGAGAAAGATGAAATGAAATTACCTGGGGATGGGCTAAGAGACCTGGGTGATAGAGGGATTGCTGCATCAGTGCTTGTTGTTGTCTTATCCTCTGATGCTGCTGCTGCTGCATCATCTTCTGATTGAAATAGATATAGTGTGTGTATGTAGGAGATAGAGAATGAAGTTAGGGTTTTGTTTCACCAAGAAACAAGAGAAAGTGAAAGAAAAAAATTAGAAAGAAAAAAAAAAGGAAAAAAAGAAAGAAAGAAAAGAAAAGAAAAAGCCTGGAGACAAAGAGTAGAAGAAGATTGTCGAAATAAAAGGCAAGGGAGATGGTGGTTATTATGTCTGTCAGATCTTCCATTCTGCATACGTATTCGTGAATTATTTTGTGTCCCATTGTTTCTCCACCGTTGGATTTCTCTTTGTTCAAACACAACAAATCCTTTATTTTATATTCTTGAAGATTTTAGAATAAGTTATTATTAAAAAAATAAATAATTTTTATAAATTGTTCATATATTTTAGAAAATTTCACAGATTAGTTTCTAAATTTTTTTTTATATGAATGGTCCTGAAAGTTTCAGTTCCTGATTGATCTTGATTTTTATACCATTATATATTTTTTTATTTAACTACAGTTTAAATTAATCTTTATATTATTATTATTATTAAATTATAAATAAGTCAATAACCCCATCATAATCACCCCTCCCTTTTCCTATCTTTTCTTCCACCGTCCACCACCACCACTATAGTAAAATACCACATGTCACCGCTATACTCTTCTTATTGCTTTTAGAATATAATTTACTCAAAACCCAAAAATTAACCATATGAAACTAGATATTATGAAACAGACTTTAAACAAATTTAATACAATTAACTCGTTACCTGCTTTTGTTTTAAAATTCAAAAAACCGTAATTTAGTGTTGGTTTATGTGGAGAACATGAGATCAAATACACAAAAAGAAATAGTAGTGGGTGAGGATAATGTGATATACAAGATGGGCCTTTCCAACATCAAGGGAGTCATGGAGTGCAGGAATGGGTTGGAATGGAAGAATTATGGGAGGTACGGCAGTACCTCCAAGGAACCATACCTTGATTCCTTGAACCATCCCTTCTTGAGTGGGCTAAGAGTAGTGGGTTGAGTGGCTTTATACCGTAATTATGCAATAATCATTTGTACATTATGCATTTATATTTGTACTGTAATTATTTTGTTTGTTTTTAAAAGTAGTTTTATAAGTTTTTAAATATTTTACAAATTAGTTTTGTATGATTTTTAATTATTTTGTGTTAATTTTAAAATTAAATATTAAGGGAGGAGGGAGTCGTTCCCTCCCAACCCATCGAACCCACTGTCACATCAATTTTTCTCTTTTATTTTTCTTCATCTTTCCGAACCCACAACACACGGAAATCCTATCTTTTTGAACCCACTCAACCCACTCAATTAAAAAAAATACAAAACAACTAAGGTACAAATTTTAAAACACATGGTACAAGAGAAAATAAGAAAGAGAAAGTAGAGAGAGATGATGAAGTGAGTTGGTGAAACCAATCAACCCACTCGTTGAAGCGGGAATGGTACCGTCAATAACTCTATTGCTAATTAAGATTTTACATTTGATTGTTTTGTATTTTTTTTTAATTGAGTGGGTTGAGTGGGTTCAAAAAGATAGGATTTCCGTGTGTTGTGGGTTCAGAAAGATGAAGAAAAATAAAAGAGAAAAAGTGATGTGGCAGTGGGTTCAGTGGGTTGAGAAGGAATGACTCCATCCTCCCTAAGTGGGTTAGAAAAGATACAGTTTTCTTGTGGGTTGAAAAAAAAAACTTAGTTGTTTTGTATTTTTTTTAATTGAGTGGGTTCAGAAAGATAGGATTTCCGTGTGTTGTGGGTTGGGAAAGATGAAGAAAAATAAAAGAGAAAAATTGATGTGCAGTGGGTTCGGTGGGTTGGGAGGGAATGAGCTCAAGAAAGGGTCAAAAGAACAACAAAAGTAGGCAGCCAAACAGTTTTCATTTCTTTGGTTTTTAGAAATAATGATCCAAATATATCTCATATCTTTGAGGTTAGGGAAGGTTCATGAAATTCATGTTTGTTATCAATCTTCGAAACAAAAACAACCTGCAAATCAAAACTCATTGTGTAGCTTTTATTGATCTTTTTCGATTTCACTTTTCAATTATGTGTTCATCTTATTCAATATCGCCCCTGCATATCATCTTCAATTTCTTTTTGATTTGTATTACTTTCTTCGATTTCTCCCTTGACCGGAAAACCCTTGCGTAAAAGTCAAAGAAGAATAATGAGATATGGAGCGGGTTTTAGAGCAGGAATAAAAAAGAATAACGAGGTCTGGAGCAGTGGCTTCTCTGATGATCAGCGTTCGTTCGTCTTTTAGGGAGTTATTTATTGCATAATCGAAGGGAGAAAAGGAAAGACATGGATGTGGGTTGAGGGTAGTTACCGAAGAATGAGAGAAATGGTAAGGGTTTATCGACGGCGACTAGGGGGTGGGTTTTAATGATTGAGGGGCAAAAGTCTTTTTTGGAAAAGTTACAAAAAGTCAGGTTTTCCTAACTTTTCCAAAAAGTCAATTTTCCTTATATCCAAAATCCAAAAGTAGTTTTTAAAATGTTTTTACCAAACATTTTTTACATTTTATCTTCTCCAAAAAAAACTTTTGTCTCTCAAAAAGACAAGTCAAACACCCCTAGGTTTTGTCATAGGTGGGTTTTAATGATTGAGGGGCTAATCAACAGGAGGAATTGAAGGAGGGGTGGGGCCTTCTTCTACTTTGTTTGTATTTTGTGTTTGTGAGATTGAGCAACACAAGTAGAAAGAAAGGATAGTGGGTTTATTTAATTTTTCAAAATAAAATTAGTTTAAACATATATATTAAATAAAAAATGGTATAAAAATCATTTTACATGGGTTAGGCCTAACTACATCATAAAATTAAAGCATATGTACCATTTGTTTCAAAAAATAAATTTAGGGATTGAACTTGTGATTTTTATAAAGAACATGAACTATTTATGTAATTTTGTCTAAAAAAATCTTTGTAAAATTCATTAGAAAAACATGAATTGGAGTCCTTTTTTTTGCCGATTTCTTTTAAATGAGGTGGACATAAGCACGTTACAAAGTTTATTTCGGTGTTTTTTAGTGATATGATAATTGATATTAACAAAATAAACTTATATTCGTGTCATTGTTATCATTATTATTAAAGCCATAGACACCCCTTCCCTTCGCTCGTTACAACTATACAAGCTTTGATTTTTACCCTAAGGATGGTTGAATTTCTACCCATTTATCTTTGATAAAAGCCATTCTCTTTCCCTATCCCTTTCACCTTCGATGTGTCAAAACCCGCTTTGAGACAAAATCATTTCCCCATACCCATTTATATGTATGTACTTAAGGACCATCACCACCACCCTTACCCATATCCCCTTTAATTCTCCGTACATGAACAAATCAAAAGAGATATTGTGTTAGCATTGTATGTTGTACGCTCCGACTGTTAATACAAAGTACATCCAAAAACTTTTATTTTTATAACATGAATCATACCAAATTCGGTGTACAATTGTATCACAAATCAGTACAAATAGTTATCAAGAGGATCTTACAATAACCACGTGTAAGAATCCAAGTCGGACGTTACTAACTTCACTTCTTTATACAAGTTTACATGAACCTGAAAGGCACACATAACAAAACGGTAAGCTATAATAAACTTAGTGGGTAACCATATCAAAAAGATATAAATTAGTTACAAAACTAAATATATATATCATTACATTCTCAACACTATAATCCTAATGTGTCTTCCAAATATTCAATACACACGTACGACATTACCAACACCAAATTTGCCATTTATTATTCATAATAGACTTGCAGTCGAGCAAGCTACTATCAGTTCCAATTAATCTCTCTTCAGTAGTAATCAATACTTCATATACTGCAAACTCATCCAACCAACATTTATCTTACTAACATTACAACCATTCAAACGTTCACTACAACATTTTTTCGCGAGTATAATATTTTGGCCACCAAGGCTACTATTAACTTATAATTCTCCAATGATAATATTACAATCACCAAGGATATTATCATAATATAATGCTAACATACAAAAATCTATACATCACCATAACCCTGTAGTGTTACGGTCACCGAGACTACCACTAACAACTAATCTCAATATAGTGGTGTTACAATCACCAATACCACCACTAAATTAGTCCAAGATATTATAGTCACCAAGATTATCATGACTAACAATATTCATGTATATTGGTATTTCTAGCACCAAGCATACAACTACAATCAACACTTGCACCAAAGATAATACAATAGTAATTACAATACTAAGCATACCACTAACAACTGATTCCCACGTAGTGGTAATTATAGCTCCAATCATACCACTAATTCTCTTCAAAAAAATCTAGAAGTATAGCATTACAGACACTAAGTCCACCATTGAACTGTATTCCTTGAATTATGGTATTACAGTCACCCAGATTGCCATATATTTACTAATCATATGCACGTAACGTTATAAACACCAAGTTCGTCATTGTCTTGCATTCCTTAATTGATGGTATTACAGCCACCCAGGCTACCACCTCTTTCTAATAACTATCAATAAGTATAGTGTTACATACATCTAGTCCCCATTGACTTGTATTATTCAAATAATAGTATTACAGTCACCTAGACGACCATCAATTTTAGACATATAGACTCACAGTACAGTATCGTTCTTATTATAATTTCATCAAGGTGTAACATCCCCCTCTGACACGTATCACAATATTGTCCACTTTGGGCTTCCGGCATGAAAACTTCATAAAGGGTAACCCATCTCTAGATTTCTCTTGTCCGAGCAGGCTTAAATGCAGAGTTCTTATGGGATCTGTTCTCTCACGACTTTAAAATGGTTTGTGATAGGGAAGGTATCCATGTAACGCCCTATTCTGAATCGTTTCCTAATGCGGGGTAGTGACTGAAGATCAGGTATCATCAGGCTTATGGCCTTTGAGGAAAAGAGATTTAGACCCATTTGGGTGTGGGTAATGTAAATTAGATGATCCGGGAGTTCGGTTTGTGTTTCGGAGCCAAAGGGTATATCGGTAAAGTGTTAGTTTGGGCTTTTATGGAAATTGGATTTTAGTTCAGGAAGTTTTAATGTAACATCCCAAAATACGACCCAAAATTTTTTTGTTTTAATATTACTAAAATCACATCATCCAATGTCATACATACTAAG